ACAAAACCTGACCCTGGCAATGGCTTGTGTTTAGAGCACCAGCCAAGTTCACTGCAGGGGCTGGTTGGGCTGTGGTCCTGCCTCTTCCTGTGGAAGCTCACGCTGCTAACACCAGTGCTGACTCTGGGCTCCACCGCCTTTTTATTTTTTATTTATTTTTTATTTTTTTTAAAGATTTTATTTATTTATTTGACAGAGAGAGATCACAAGCAGGCAGAGAGGCAGGCAGAGAGAGAGGAGGAAGCAGGCTCCCTGCTGAGCAGAAAGCCCGATGCGGGGCTCGATCCCAGGACCCTGAGATCATGACCTGAGCCGAAGGAAGCGGCTTAACCCACTGAGCCACCCAGGCGCCCCTCCACCGCCTTTTTAATGGCACTTACCCAGCCCGCACTGTTCCTGCCTTGTGTGTCCGAACCGCTTTCCCTGTCTCACTGAACTGGGCTTTGCATCTGTTGTCAATTCTAGTGAAGCCCAGTGTGACCACACAATCTACAGCTGGGCCTCTCACACTCTCTTTTGTGGTACCCCATCTGTGTAAACACGTATCTCACAAACTACAGTTATTTTGCTCATTATTTGTGTTTCGTTTTGCAATACCTGTCTTCCGTATTTAAGTCCCATAAAAGCAATACTTAGATGTGTGCATACCCTCTGTGTATGTACCATGCTCGGCTGTTGCTGTTTCTCTAGCTACCAGCTTTGGCTTTCTCTCTGTCTCTCTCTCTCTGTGTGTGTGTATGTGTGTGTGTTTTAAGATTTTATTTACTTGAGAGAGAGAAAGAGAGCATGGAGGAGCAGAGTGAGGGGCAGAGGGAGAAGCAGACTCCCCGCTGAGCAGGGAGCCAGATGTGGGGATCAGTCCTGGGTCTCCAGGATCATGACCTGGGCTGAAGGCAGATGCTTAACCAACTGAGCCACCCAGATGCCCCACCTCTCTGCTTTTGGAAAACCTCAAGAAGGGCACTCGTAGTAATTACTCTCATGTGGCCACGTTCAGGAACTGCTATGGTTATCAGGCCGTGCCCGCGAGATATCCAAGGGCTGATAGGCATTTGCGAACCCATGGTTCTTGTACTCTCAGGTTAGAGGAGCACCTGAACCCTTTCCACCTTGCCAACCCAGGGCCGAGGAAAGGTCTTTTTGTGGAGGATGTGGGTACCAGAAAGCCATGCCTGCAACATGGTTGCAAGGCTGGGGACCCCCCAGCCACCCATCCATAGCCATATCTGCCACACTCCGACGTCTGGAGCCAAGTGGCCCTCCAGAATGTGTCCATGAAGGAGGAAGCTGAGTGCAGCAGGGAGGCATGTGTGCCCCAGAGCTACAGGGCCTGGATCAGGTCCTCAGACCATGCACATTATCAGCTGTTTAATTTCTGAAACGCTTTTAAGCCTCTCTGTTCAACTTTCAAGTGGGGATGAGACAGTCTCACAGAATTGTGAGGATTAAATGAGTTATTACATGCAGAGTGCTTACAAGAGTACCCGGCCTGCGGGACATCCTCAAATGTTAACTGTTGTCCCCTATGACTGGGGATACAGCTCTCTTCTATTCCACAGCCTGAACTATGGTTTCTGGGACCAGGCAGGTTTGGATGCTTATTGTGGGCAGGACCAGACTGGCCATACAAAGATAAAAACGCTTAGAAGCACTACTTTTGGACAGGTCTTAAGAGATAACCAGGTAACACAAATGCAGCTTGTACCTCTTAGAACACTGTGTACTTTTCTCATTTATTTTCAGAAAGACACACTGATGGGCCATTCTATGGCAACAATTTTTAAGAACAGTGATGAGCCGTAGACAGGGTAACACACAGGCTGAGGAGGAACATGCCCGAGTGACCAAATCCTGGCACTGGCAGAGAACGGTCATTAGCGCCACTGAGAAGTTCATGAGTGATGGAAAACAATCAAACTTTGTATTTTCTTTTTGCCTTTGCAAACTGGTATAAAAATACTAAAAGTAAAAATATTACCAAAAATATATTTAGCGGGAGTTGAGGAGGGGCCAGAAGCTGGGACTCCTCCCACTGTAGGTGGGAGTGTTTTATGTGTCCACATGGCCTTGCTGGCTAATCCAGTAAAGGGCAGAGGAGGGCAAAGTGCAAAGGGAAGAGAAATCAGACAGCTGGAGGGTATGCACTTGGACTAAATTCATGTTCGAGGGAATTAAGTTGTTTTCTCAACCAAAGATGCATGCAGTTTAGGGTTGTTTTGTTCCAAGACTCTGAGGCTCAGGTACTATAACTGGGAAGCCCCAGTCCGCTGAGGGTCAAGGTGCCATTCTAAAAGCCATTGCTGAATATGGAGAAAGGCAACGTCTTGGGCAGACACTGGTGGCAGAGCGAGGTGAGCTCAGGTGATGAGGGAGAACCCAGGCGCCCAATCTATCAGCTGGAGATGGGAAGACCTGACAAGAGAGCATTAGAGGAATGTGAAAGGGGAGACTGGAGCAATTATTTTTCCCCCAAGAGCTGGCAGTTTCAGGGGGGCATTCACGGGAGCCCACAGCCAATGATGACTTTTAACAAGGTTTACGGTGCTAATTCTCTTCCCAAACCCTTCCCCTGGGCAGAGCGGAACTGCCACTGCCACTGAGTTTGCCCATTGGGCAATTCCATGGTAGACCAGGAGAGCTCTGGTGCATCAGATGTGGGAAGTGGGTCTAGATCTGCTTCTCTGGCTCCTCTGTCTCTCTAGTCCTGTTGAGGGGCTGGGGATACTGGCTCCTTCATTATCTTGCGACGGCATGGTCGTGGGTGCGCCGGGAAGTCTGTGCACTGACTGGGCAGGGAGCAATCCCAGATTGAGGGCTTTCGGGCTGCATGGATTCCGGTGCAGGAACAGCGGCCGGTGCCGTCCCCGGGATAAAGGAGGCTCTCGGGGGCACCTGGTCTCGGCTCTGGCTCGACTGCAGGCACAGGACCCATGGCAGCAGCTCTCATTAAACACAAACAAAATGAACATAGAACTCAGCTGAGCAGCGTCCCACAGGGATTCAAGGGAAGAGGGTGATTGTTAGGGGCAGGTGGGCCACATGGCTGGTACTGCAGGCAGGGCTCTAGAGCAGCGAGCAGGTTTTCAAGTTTTTTTGTGGAATTGGGGGCTGCCAATGAACATGTGGGGGCCCAGTGTACAAAGAGCTCCAAGTCACCCCTCGAAATGCTGCTTCATCTGCAGCTTAGTAGGGGAGAAAGCATGAGCTGCTGCTGACCCCCTCACAGATGCCTGCCCACACTGGCAGCCTGTACTCGATGGAAGGTGAATTTAGAATTCCACCAGGAAAAAGACTGTCCTCTTCTGTAACTTGGAGTTGAGGTGCAGCATCTGTGGGGCCAGTGGGCTGCCCAACTTGATGGAGAGCACCTCCACGGACTGAGAACTTGCCACTCCGTTTCCCAGAACAATGGTAGACTTGCTCTTCCATATTCATGATGTGGTGTGTTGTTCCAGTTTGCAGTAGTGCGGGCTCCCCGTCCTTTGTGGCGGGGAAGGGGACAGTGCTACCAGGGACTGTATAAAATAACACATGTTATTTTATCTCTGTACTTTCTACTGAGAGCAGTGAAGGATCAAAGATGGAGAAGGAACTGTACCTGCAGGAACAGAGTATCGCTACAAGTTTTGGGCATGGACAGTTCCCTGCCAGGGAACGTCACGATGCTGTTGACCACGTCCTGACCCATGGAATTACTCCACAGATAGCTCACCACTGTCAGAATGGGACAGTCTTTAAATAGAACACCCAGATGGAGGAGAGGAAATGCCCACTTCCAAATGCAAAAGCAGAAATTCAAAGCTGTTTGCTCTGTGAACACAGTCGAGACCTGCCGAAAATTGGATGGAAGAAGTGCAGGGACCAGGATGCAGCAGTTCGTATTCTGGGGGCGAGGAATACATCCTTGCAGTGGACACAGAGGACTGCCAGCCAAGGGAAAGAGTGGGTCAGAGCCTTTGAGTACTAGCTTTGGGGCTCCAACTTGTGTCAGCTGCATGTTAGGAAATGGCAAATCACAGAAGTGGAGAGGGTCTAGAACACTGTGAGGTGGCTGGATTGTCACGTCTGAGGCTGAGCAGGCCCCTGACTGCTGTGTGTGGGGTAAGGACAGTGCAGAGCAATTGGAGGTAATGTCTACACAACCTAGTCCCTACTTTAAGGTACCATCCCAGTGTAAGAGTCAAGGTGAGGCCCAGAGGAACTGGGTAACTCAAGAAGTTTGATCAACCTGTCTCCCAGGGGTCGCCGAGTTCTGAATGCTGGGTCTGGTTGCAATAACCAGAATCATGGACTGTGTAGGTGGCCAGATCACGACATTCTCCAAGGGCAAATGGGGTGATGGTAAGTGACACGATGTCACCAGTTAGGAGGTGCTAAATCAAGAGGGACACACCATTCAAATGAGTTGTCTCAGAAGGAGAATATGGGTAAGCAGCCAGTGGACACATAAGTCAGGGAGATCTGAGAAGATGGTTTGAAGCAGAAGGTGGGATACATAATTTAGGTAACTCCGGGGCCAATGTACGGTGACTGTACTTTCCCTACACTGAGAAAGTGGGTGGGTGAGAACAAAGGGTTCCACTGAAAGTAGAAACCCTTTTATATAAAAAAAGTGAGTGAAATGCTTATTGACCATTTTTACTTTTTTGTTCCTTTGCTTCTTCCCCTGGTCTTTTGCAATTTTATAACTTCTCTTAATAGTCAAAATGTAAATGTGATCATCTAATTTCTGTGTTGTTAATGAAGCTTCATTTTGGTTATAATACTTAATAATTCAGACTAATTAAACATTATTGTTATTCAACTGAGGCAGTTCTGAACTAGGAGGGCATGCCATTCTTAAATTCTCAAACCCACAGTACCGTGAAGGTTGACTCTCTGTAAATAAAAATTCCATCTTCACCGGTTTTCATGGCTATTCTCTGGAATGGATTCACTTACATTCAATAATTAACACACTTGGTCTCGAAGTTCTGCCATATAAACTATAATCCTATCACTTTTCTCCAATATGATGTCTCTGATGCTGAATGAGGTTTGCAGTCTGGTTGAAAGCTTTCCCACATTTATTACATTTATAGGGCTTCTCTCCTGTGTGAATCCTCTGATGCTGAGTAAGGTGTGTGCTTCGAATAAAGGCTTTCCCGCAGATTTTACATTTGTAAGGTTTTTCTCTGGTGTGGATTCTCTTATGTTGAGTGAGGGCTGAATGGTCGCTGAAGGCTTTCTCACATATATTACACGTGTAAGGTTTTTCTCCAGTATGAATTCTCTGATGTTGGGCTAGGGCTGATTGGTCCCTGAAGGCTTTCTCACACAAACCACACCTGTAAGGTTTCTCTCCGGTATGAATTTTCCGATGTCGAGCGAAGGATGAATTATCCCTGAAAGCTTTCCCACATTCGCTACACTTATAAGGTTTCTCTCCAGTATGAATTCTCTGATGCTCTGTCAGGGAAGAGTTCACCCTGAAGGCCTTTCCACATTCATTACATTCAAAGGGCTTCTCTCCAGTGTGAATTCTTTGATGCTGAAGAAAACTCGTACTCTGATTAAAGGCTTTTCCACATTCATTACATTTATAAGGTTTCTCTCCACTATGAATATTCTGGTGTTTGGTAAGATGTGCCCTGCACACAAAGGCTTTGTCACATATGTTACATTTAAAAGGCTTCTCTCCAGTGTGAATTCTATGATGGTGGGCAAGGTGTATGTTTCGGATAAAAGCTTTCCCACATAAGTTGCATTCGAAAGGTTTCTCTCCGGTGTGAATTTTCTGATGGTAAGTGAGTGAGGAGCTCACAGAGAAGGCCTTGCCACATTCCTTACATTCATACGGTTTCTCGCCAGTGTGAATTCTTTGGTGATGGATAAGGTGTGTACTCTGGTGAAAGGCTTTCCCACATTCTCTACATTCATATCGTTTCTCTTTAATAACAGTTTTCTGATTTGCATTCAGTTTTTCAGTATGAACTTTCTGATGTTTATTAAGGGTTGAACTTTTAGTGAAGACTTTTCCACACTCACTACACTCGAAGGCTTTTTTGCTAGATTGAAATCCCTGACTCTGATCAAAAGATGAGCTCACAGTGCAGTGCTTCCCAGGTTCATCCCCGGCCTGGGCGTGGAGCACAGAGGGGGTCTTCTGGTGAGCAAGTACCCCCTGGCCTCCATGCTGCCATTCCAACTGGCCATCATATTTCCAGTGGCTATCTCTAGTGAATCCTTCCTTTATCATCCACTGATCCAAGTCCTGATCAGGAATATCCGGCTTGGGAGGAGATTTCTTACTCACAGGCATAGTCATCCAGTCTGAAAGACATCAAACATAAACATATGTTTTATCTAGTTACGGTAAGAAGATGAGCATGTTTATAATGCTGACAAAGAGGTTGCCGTTTTGAAGGCATCTTGAAGGGAAGATAGGAAAGGAAAGAGCAAGAGAGGTGAGCAGAGGACATAGCAGGAAGGGGTTGATTTAATGTCAGATGTATGAAGCAGGACAGCTTGGGAGCTTGAGTTCAGAAGTCACAGGCCTGGGTTGGGATCCTGAGTACAATATTCATTTTCTTTGTGACTACAGAGAAGTTAATCTGACTTTCTAAGCCTCAAAAAGCCTACGTAGACCCTACTATGCTCATAGATAAGAAAAAAAATGTACCTTGTCCATTTTAGTGGTACGGTGTTTAAAATAACCTACATGGAGCCTAAAGAAACCAGGGAAACTAGAGGTCAACACTTGGGAGAAAAGTCATTCAACTCCTATAACTAATAAAAGCAACATTTTTATGTTTTATACACTCATTCAGATGGGTAATAAAAAAGCCACAGTAAAGGCTGTGTAAAACACTCATATCTGCTAATAAAATTAGGACCTCCTACTACTGGTGAGGAAGTGAAGTCTTTAAACCCGTATGAATAATGTAACATCTATATAAGGAAAATGCACCATGAAGATGTGTATGTCAGGAGGGAGTATTAGGAACAAAGCAGTAAATCTGCCTGGATATACCCGGTACACCTTAGAGGGTGAGGCCCTTACTGGGGAAAACAGTATACTAGTCACTAGAAATGGGACTCTGTTACTAGGATACAAGCTGTGGTCCCACGTGTTATCTCACAGAATTATTGCTCTCCCCACAGACAAATTCTGCACTTACTCAATAATTGTCTCCCTTGGTTTTACGGCACAGGCATACCTCAGAGAGACTGCAGGTTTGGTTCCAGATTGCTGCAATACATTGAATGTCGCCATAAAGTGAGTCAAATGAATTTTTTGGTTTCCCAGTGCATGTAAAAGTTATGTTTATACTATACTGCAGTCTTTTCAGTAGCACAGCGTCAGGTCTAGAAAAACACTCTACATACCACAATTAAAAAAGTACTTTATTGCTAAAAAGTGCTAACCAGCATCTGAGCTTTCAGCAAAATCTTTTTGCTAGGGGAGGGTCTTGCCTCAGTGTTGATGGCTGCTGAAGGCTGGGGTGGCTGTGACAATTTCTTAAAATAAGACAACAATGAAATTTGCTGCATCAATGGACTCTTGCCTTTCAGGAATGATTTCTCTGTAGCATGAGGTGCTGTTTGATAGCATTTTACCCATAGTACAACTTCTCTCAAGATTGTAGTCAATCTCTCAAACCCTGCCTCACCTTTATCAACTAACTTTATGCCCTATTCTAAATATTGTGTTGTCATGTCAACAACCTTCACGGCATCCTCTTTGGTAGATTCCATGCCAAGAAACCACTCTCTTTGCTCATCTGTAGGAAGCAACTCCTCATCCTTTCAAGTTGTCTTGAGGAGCTTGCAGCAATTCAGTCCCATTCTCAGGCTCCACATCTAATGCTAGTTTCTCTTGCTCTTTCTATCACATCTGCAGTGACTTCCTCCGCTGAAGTCTTACACCCCTCCAAGTCATCCATGAACCTTGGAATCAATTGCCAAACTCCTACCAATATTGATTTTTTTGACCTCTGACCATAAATTATGAATGTTCTCAATGGTATCTAGAATAGTGAATCCTTTCCAGAGGTTTTCAGTTCTATTGCCGGAATTACCAAAATGTGACACAGACATGAAGTGAGCCAACACTGCGGGAAAATTGGCACCAATGGGTCTGCTTGAAGCAGGATTGCCACAAACCTTCAAATTGTTAAGAAATGCATATCTGCACAGCACAACAGAATGAGGTAGGTCTGTATTAACAAGCAGAGTTCTGGACTGCATACTAGTTTTTCCTATGTATTTGTGATTATCTGCCTTTTATGTTAAGTCTCTTTAAGACTTTGTACTAAGAAATGAATGATAAAAGCTAGATACTACTTTGCAATGATGCAAAGATTCCTGGAAAGTCCTATCAAGAACAAGCCTCCTCATTACTTTTTTTCCTACACACTTCAGAAAATCTACAAAGAGCTATAATCAATAAAATCAAACTAAACTAACTCCTTTACTTATTTGGAAAAGAAAGTTAAACAGGTGCATTTTAAAGCTAAAATCCTGGTGAGCTCAGACTAATGTTGCTCAAAACAAAAATGGTCAGTTAAATGCCAGGATTGCCAAATGTTAACACCTTAAGGGCTGACTCTCATTTCTGGACCTGATAAAGTAAGCTGTGGCAGACATTCCTGCAGAAAACAACTGGAAAATCTTAATTGATAAACAAAAATTCTGTCTAAAGGCATCAGATGTCACTCAAGGCCAACCTGATAGTTCAATATTTGGGAGAAAAGGGAAATACAGAAAGACAATCCCAATACTTACTGGTTTTTTCCCTTATAGAATTTGCTGAATTCTAAAACCTCTCAGGACAAGAGACCAAAGCTAAGCAGAATTTCAAAATTTTCTAATCTTAAGAAAATATGGAGCCAAAATCTGAGATCAGGATTTTCCAAAGAAGGGGTTAGTGGTCACAGTAAACATGTAAAGCTCTCAGTATGCACTCCTGGAGGGCTACAGCCTAGTAGTAAGGGCAAATAAGAGATAGGCAAAGCTTTATATAAACACCACAACCCAATCTCCATTTAACACCTCCCTGGTTGGATTAAGGTGGTTCCCTTATACTATCTGCCAGAAGAAAAGGCAAATGTTCTCTGGAGGAATATAACATCACCCAGGGCCTCTTCACTTCTTCAAATACAGTATCAAAGATTCAATCAAAATGTACCAGAGTAATAAGAAATTAAATCAAGAGAAAAAACAGATAATACACAAAGACCCACAGAATTCAGATATCCAAGTTATCAAACATGGATTTTGAGATAACTGTGATTAATGTGTTCAATAATATAGATAAGAATGAGAATTTCAACAGGAGATTGGAACCAATGAATCAAATGAAAATTCTACAAAAGAATATAATAATTGAAATTAAGAACTGAACAGATAGATTTAATAGTATATTAGACATAGTAGAAGGGAGCAATAGTACAATGGAAAAATACATAAGCAGAAAACATCTATGGTAAAAGTTGCTGAAAAAAGTTTAAAAAGAAACATATAAGTCATGATGAAGAGATTGAACACATGTGTGACAAGTTCTGGAATGGGAGAAGGAAACAAATGGGGCAAAAATACTATTTGAAACAACACAAAGGCTGAAAAATGAATTTGAGAAGCACCAGAGATTCCAAGCAGGATATATACAAAGAAAATTCACCTAAGCACAAAACGACTGGTAACCTGAGTTTAATCTTAACAGTTGTTTGAGAAGAAAACAAATACGTTACTTTTAAAGAATAAAAAAAAAAAAAAAAGGGTGGCTCAGTCGTTAAGCATCTGCCTTTAGCTCAGATCATGATCCTGGGGTTCTAGGATGGAGCCCTGCATCGGGCTCTCTGCTCTGTGGGAAGCCTACTTCTCCCTCTCCCACTCCCTGCTGTATTCCCTCTCACTGTGTCTCTCTCTGTCAAATAAATAAATGAAATCTTTTTAAAAATTAAATTTAAATAAAAGAAGAAGAAAAAAAAAATAAGACTGGCAGCAATCTTTTCAACAAGAACAGTGGAAGCCAGAAGACAATGAACCAACATCAGGAAGTGTTGAAAGAACATAACTGCCAAATAATTCAATAGAAAGAAAATATCCTTAAAAAGTAAATATGAAATGGGTATTTCTATACAAATAAAAAGAGAGACTGTGACACCAGCAGACCCACATTAAAAAAAAAACAAAACAAAACACAGTAAGAAGCATGTTCTAGGCATAAGAAAATCCCAGGTGGAAACATGGAAATGTAAGAAGGAATGAAAAGCAATAGAAAAGTAAATATGTGAATACATGTAAGTATTATTGCACATAATAATTATGTCTTGAGAGGTTGAAAATATATATGTAATTAAATACACTTAGCAGGGGCACCTGTGTGTCACAGGGGGTTAAGCCCCTGCCTTCGGCTCAGGCCATGGTCTTGGGGTCCTGGGATTGAGCCCTCATTGGGCTCTCTGCTCAGCAGGGAGCCTGCTTCTCCCTCTCTCTCTGCCTGCCTCACTGCCTATTCGTGATATCGGTCACAAAAAAACAAAAACTAAGATTGTAAGACTGGATTTAAAAAATCCAACTAAATGCTCATTAGAAGAGAAATACCAAAACATAGGTATAGAAATATAGAAAAGAATGAAAAGGATTTATGAAGCAAGCAGTAACCACAAGAAAGCTGGTATATATATCAGACAAATCTTACAATATTAGAAAAAATAGACTTTCAGATATTTCACATTGACAGAAGGGACAGTTCTCCAGGAACATATAACAAATCTACATTTGCGCATAAACTTCACAATGTATAAAGTAGAAACAGAGAAAATGAAAAGCAAAAACAGAAATCTTTATAATCCTAGCAATCTGT